GTACACTCTCAAGACGTGCATGTGATTTCTGACTTATCTTAGCATGTTCTAAATATTGTCGGCTCAAGATGGCTGGTTGTAATTTTTTCGCCGGTTGAGAAGCGGCCCAGTTGGCTGTAGTTGGTACCAGCCAGTCGGGATTGGTCCCACATACAGAGTTTGCCCCTCCCTTCCCCGGTTCGAGCTTGGAGGGGTGCTCCTCCGCCCCCTCCGGGTTCGAATCGGGGGAGGGACCTTTTCCAGTCAGGCGATGGTAGATCGCGCCTCCTCCGCCTTTTTCATCCGTCGTTGGTCATGGATGAAACGACCCTCTTCCGACATCGTCCGGTCCGGGCTCATCTTGGGGACCCGGCCCCAGGGGGAGGACCTTGCCCCCCTGAGGTACTGCCCTTGGGCCACAGAGCAGGACCCGGCCCTTCTTCGCGCCATTCCAAAGTTTCTCCGTTGCCTCCACCATATGGCCTGTGACGCTCTCGTGCGGCTTGGCCGCGATTCGGGCCTGGACCAGCGGCTGCCTGGCCTGAACCCCATTCCCGCACCATCTCCCGGAGTCACTTCTTCAGCTCTGGGTCTATGGACTCGCAGATCTCCTAGCTGAACACCTCCGCCCATAGCCTCCGATGCTCCACAGCCGCACCTTCCCAGCTTCCGACCGCGATTATCAGCTCGTCTCCGAGGCGGACTCCTTCCCCCAACCGCTTCTGGAGGGTACGGTACTTGGGACCTCCCTGGCAGTGAACCCACAGAGCAGCCGCCAGCTCCTGGGGACTCCCCGCGTGAGGCACGTGGGTGACATGGACGCTTCCACCTCCTCCTCGGACCAGGAGCGGCCATGCATCCCATGAGCTCGCCTTCTACGAGCCGTACCGGATCTTCATCAGATTGTGGTTGTCGGGCTTTGGAGGGGAGGGGACACTTCAGAGGCCTCTCGGAAGTTTGCTCACCTCCTTCTAAAATGGGGAGTTGGGTTATGTCTCGCGTCTTTCAAGGGAGGCCACTCAAATGAAGTCCTCCTGAGTGCCCCATCCGTCCAGACACCGTCTGATTGGGAAAGCTCTTGGAAAGCTCCCTTTCTCTCTCCCTGATCCCCGCGAGTTCGCCAGCCTTCCGAGGGCCCTCCCCCTCCAGGGTGGGTGAGTCGGATTTTTGTGCGGCTTCCAGTGGCCCGTACGAGCGTGTTTCTTTATTGCTTGGGGCTTAATTAAGGCTTGTGTCGGTCCTGTCTGCAGGACTTCCTCCGCGGTCGGCTGCTGCATTTGCGGCGTGCCACGGGAGCGTGTTGCACCTTCGTCCGCGCCGTCCGTGGCCCTCAGCCCCTTATGGCACTCGAGAGACCCACAAGGCCCTTGGCTGAACAAAAACATAAACGATTGCTTGGGGCATAATGGCATTATAGCCCCCAGCCCCCCCTCTTCCCCCCTATAACGTAACGCCCCTCCTCCCCCCCAGTGCGCTCCGGGCACTGCCGGCGTGCGCATCGGGCACACGGCGGGGGGGAGGCGTTACATTACACCCCCCCCAGGTCTTCTCCCCCCCCCCATAATGCTTATTCTCGCCGAAAATACAGAAACGCGCTCCTGTGCGGTCGTCTGAGGGCTCAGGGCACCACGCGCACTCCGAGCCCTGCAGGATGGCCGCCTTGGAATGGTGGAGCATCTGCTGGAAGCAGGGGAGGCCGTAGACCTTGGGTCAGATCTCCGCCTGCTGCGCCTCCTGGTCCCGAAGGGCCCAGCGGCCCATCGATGCCCGAACTCGAGCCAGACCCCTCGGGGCCGACGCGGGTGGGCCGCCCTCTTTCGCGGGATGTGCCGCCAGGACGCGCGGGGACGCGGGCGACCTCGACGATTGCGACGACGACGGCGACGCGGGTTCTCGACTGACAGTTCGGCACAGTCAAGTCGCATCACAAAGGCAAGGCCTGCGGAGTTCGTTTCGTGTCTCGTTTTGGTGTCTTGCTGAACGGCGGCATCGTTTCGTTTTCATTTTCGTGTTGCACCCGTATCGTTTTCAACGTTCGTTTGAAATATCAAGATTCGTTTTGGTTCCCAACCATCCTGTGGTGTTGGGTCCTCGTTTTGAAGAGACGTCGCCCCGCGTTCCTTCTTCCTCCTTCCTCCTCCTCCCCCCTCCTCCCCCTCCCACACCCATTCTGGCACACCCTTCACACGTCTCGTGGCCCCATAGGGAGCTCCACCGAAGGCCCCGGTGGATGCGCCCGCATGCGGTTCCACCCCCCATTCTGGCACACCCCTCACACGTTTCGTGGCCCCATAGGGAGCTCCACCGAAGGCCCCAGTGGCTGCGCCCGCATGCGGTTCCACCCCCCCATTCTGGCACACCCCTCACACGTTTCGTGGCCCCATAGGGAGCTCCACCGAAGGCCCCAGTGGCTGCGCCCGCATGCGGTTCCACCCCCCATTCTGGCACACCCCTCACACGTTTCGTGGCCCCATAGGGAGCTCCACCGAAGGCCCCAGTGGCTGCGCCCGCATGCGGTTCCACCCCCCATTCTGGCACACCCCTCACACGTTTCGTGGCCCCATAGGGAGCTCCACCGAAGGCCCCAGTGGCTGCGCCCGCATGCGGTTCCACCCCCCATTCTGGCACACCCCTCACACGTTTCGTGGCCCCATAGGGAGCTCCACCGAAGGCCCCAGTGGCTGCGCCCGCATGCGGTTCCACCCCCCATTCTGGCACACCCCTCACACGTTTCGTGGCCCCATAGGGAGCTCCACCGAAGGCCCCAGTGGCTGCGCCCGCATGCGGTTCCACCCCCCATTCTGGCACACCCCTCACACGTTTCGTGGCCCCATAGGGAGCTCCACCGAAGGCCCCAGTGGCTGCGCCCGCATGCGGTTCCACCCCCCATTCTGGCACACCCCTCACACGTTTCGTGGCCCCATAGGGAGCTCCACCGAAGGCCCCAGTGGCTGCGCCCGCATGCGGTTCCACCCCCCATTCTGGCACACCCCTCACACGTTTCGTGGCCCCATAGGGAGCTCCACCGAAGGCCCCAGTGGCTGCGCCCGCATGCGGTTCCACCCCCCATTCTGGCACACCCCTCACACGTTTCGTGGCCCCATAGGGAGCTCCACCGAAGGCCCCAGTGGCTGCGCCCGCATGCGGTTCCACCCCCCATTCTGGCACACCCCTCACACGTTTCGTGGCCCCATAGGGAGCTCCACCGAAGGCCCCAGTGGCTGCGCCCGCATGCGGTTCCACCCCCCATTCTGGCACACCCCTCACACGTTTCGTGGCCCCATAGGGAGCTCCACCGAAGGCCCCAGTGGCTGCGCCCGCATGCGGTTCCACCCCCCATTCTGGCACACCCCTCACACGTTTCGTGGCCCCATAGGGAGCTCCACCGAAGGCCCCAGTGGCTGCGCCCGCATGCGGTTCCACCCCCCATTTCGGCACACCCCTCACACGCTTCGTGGGTGGCTCCATGGGGAGCTCCACCGAACGCCCCAGTGGCTGCGCTCGCATGTGGTTCCCCCCCCATTTCGGCACACCCCTCACACGGTTCGTGGCCCCATAGGAGCTCCACCGAAGGCCCCAGTGGCTGCGCTCGCATGCGGTTGCTCGTGGCGCTCCGCACGCCGCATGGTTCCACCCCCCATTTCGGCACACCCCTCACACGTTTCGTGGCTCCATAGGGAGCTCCACCGAAGGCCCCAGTGGCTGCGCTGGCATGCGGTTCCACACCCCATTCTGGCACACCCCTCGCACGTTTCGTGGCCCCATAGGGGGCTCCACCAAAGGTCCCAGTGGCACTGCCCGCTTGCGTCCGCCACCACCCAGCACAGCCCTTGTTCCCTGCGCTTCACCCACCCAGAACAGCGCTTCGTAGCCCTATAGGGAGCTCCACCAAAGGTCCCAGCGGCACCGCCCGCATGCGTCCGCCACCACCCTGCACAGCCCTTGCTCCCTGCCTGCGTTTCACCCACCCAGTACAGCGTTTCGTGGCCCCATAGGGAGCTCCACCGAAGGTCCCAGTGGCACCGCTCGCATGCGTCCGCCACCACGCAGCACAGCCCTTGCTGACCGCGTCTCACCCACCCAGTACAGCGTTTCGTGGCCCCATAGGGAGCTCCACCGAAGGTCCCAGTGGCACCGCCCGCATGCGTCCGCCACCACCCAGCACAATTGCGGCATTCACAACTGCATATGGTTGGGTCCTTCGCCAGGCTAATTTTCGTTCTAAACGCAAACGCGTTTTAAACATCTTGGTGATCGGTCCTTGGACAAGGATGAGCAACCTTCCAAGTCTACCTATCGGCCGATGCGGGCCCCCAGCCAAGAACTTCCAACTTCGGCTTACACTCGGGTGTCCAAAGGGCCTCGCATCCCTACCGCGCATCCTCATGATCTGGCTGCACTGTACAGTACAGTCGGGGTGCTGAAGAAGGAACCCTGTTCGTTGGGGCGGGGCTTCGTGTTATTTAGTTGCTTTACAGTTTGCCTCAGGTTGTCCTAGGTTTTCGATGGGAGATCGATGTTTAACGTATGGGAGAAAGGGTCCTCGTTCCTTAGTTTGGGTCTCTTAGGTCAACGCCCCGACTCTAGGCCCATCAAATACACGAAGCCGGCCTGCCAGCAGCTGCCCCACGGAAGTTTCTTCCGATTCCCAGGGATCCACAGAAGCTCCCAGGCACCTTCGGACCCTGCGAGATGGACGAAGAACGTGCCCCAAGATTTCAGAGCCCCGAATCATCAGGGGTAATTCGGGTCAGGGCCAACTCGGGCTCGTTTTTCGGGCATCCGAACCCGAGTTACCCAGGACCCAAGTTACCCCAGATAACTCAGGCGTCCAGCGCCCCAAATCATCAGAGGTAACTCGGGTCAGGGCTAACTCGGGTTTGTTTTTCGGGAATCCAAGCCCGAGTTACCCCAGGTCCGAGTTACCCCAGATGACTCGGGCGCCCAAAGATTTCTTGCAGTCAGATTTCTTATCGTGCGTGTCTGCTGTGTTGGTGGGCTGGCGCCTCCCCCGCCTCGAG